CCATCAAACAGTAATTTAAATTCTGCTGCTTCCTTGCCCTGTCAGCCTGGTCCAAGTTCTGGCTGAGAAGGGAAACTGGGTAAGCCTGCAAGACAAGGAGCAACTCAGGCAACTAATGGTGTAAAGTAAACCCACAAAATGGCTGTCTTCTCACTACGTCCCTGACATGCAGCTGAAGCTGCAGAGCCGTACATTAAACTGTTAGCACTTACTAAAACAAGACCCTTCCTGGTGTCTGCTAGGGAGAGGTTTTCTCCCCAGATCTTGGCTTGGAAATACTCACCAGCTATAAAATTCCACTGAAGTCTGATGATTGGCTTCTACAAGATTCCAAACCCTTGGCCCAGTTTATTCAGACTCGTTATTAGATATGCGTTCTCTCACTAAAGTGGTTGGGAAGCTCATTTGGACAACTGTTGCAGTGCTGGATCTAGACTTCAAGCCATTTAAGGTACATATTAGGCAGAGTGTGCGTTGCATTTGCAAGGATACCCCTTTATCTGCACTGTGGTCTGCTCTGTGCTGTGCCATGCATTGCCTGCAAGGCAGCTCTCCCAAAGTTCTGCCTGAGTCCAGGGCTGCAAAGTAGAGGGCAATGTTATGCACTCAGCATTCAAAATAGTGATTGGGAGCAAGGTAGGGGTTTATCTTGGCTCTGCTGCTGACCAGAGCAGGCATGAGAGAGTCTTTGTGGGCTAAAAGTCAGGTTGTCCTCATCAGGGTATGTCACAGCACACAAAGACAACGAGCAAATCCCTGCCACCATGTCATACCCTTGCCCTGTTCAAGGATTGAGCTGGGCAGGTTTTTGTTCTCTTGAAAATATCTTGCGGAAGAGAGTCCTGTCCTCTGGAACTTGGTGCCACCTATAATGAATTTGCATCCCACTGTGTTAATGAATGAAGTGAGGCACCAGCCTTGGTGCCTGTGGTTATCTTCAGCCTTTTCTTGGACGTAATCTGGTCTGATGAGACCTGGTGTCTAGGGTTTTCCTCTGCACAAAGTCAGGGGAGAACTGGGAGCTCTGAGAGCACAATTACACTGCTCCTTTCTGTTCTCAAGCAGCTAATGGGGCTTGTCACAGTCTGTGATCCCAGATGAGCCTTTCTACCCCCACAGTGGTTTTCCAGAAATCTCACTTCTTTTCCTTCTATCCCTGCAGGAGGGTATTGACCCAAAGAAAGTGGATGCCATCTCTACAGCCTTTGGCTTTCCAGTGGGTGCTGCCACATTGATTGATGAGGTTGGTGTGGATGTGGCCACACATGTGGCTGAGGATCTTGGCAAGGCCTTCGGCGAGCGCTTTGGAGGTGGCAGCATCGGTTTGTTCAAGCTCATGGTGCAGAAGGGCTTCTTAGGTGAGGTGCTAGGCTGTTGTAATCCAACATTTCCTTTTTTGTCCAAGGAAAAGTACTTTACATCCATTAGCCTCTTCTGCTTCAGGTGAGAGCAGACAAAGCAGTCCTAGGAAAGGGATGGGAAGCTGTACCCTGAGTAAGCCTTGGGACCTTCCTTTGCAGAAATGACTTCCGCAGGCAGAGATGCTGCCTAGAGCAAAAGCAGCAAGCAAGATACCATGAAGTTCTGCCTAGCTCTTTCATTGGACCTGCACGTGCAGGGACATGAAAAGCAAGTGTCTGGAAACGAATGTGCTGAAATGAAGCGAGCTCTGACCTTAGGTTTATAGAAGCTCCATGTGAGGGAAGGTGATGGCTCTATCCATATGTAGAAGCTGTTTCCTGGTGGTTGAAGAGTCAGCTGTGCCTTTGAGCATGCCAGGATGGAGCTTTGTGCAGCAGTGGGACCTGCACTTGGGTCATGGCAGCTCTCACCCTCCAAACAGTTCTTGCTATGACCAGAACCTGGCAGCTTGTCATCTCTGTCCCTTACAATCAAGGACTGCATTTCTTTTTACTGCCAAAGCAATGCAAATGGTGACATTATTTGGCTGTCCTCTGGACCTAGCAAAGGCATTGGAGCCTGGCACAGGTAGCAGCATTTTGCCAAGGAGGCAGCTGGACATGAGCCCCTTCCCCCTCCTTCTTGGTGAGGCAGCAAGCAGTCTTGCTGTGAAGAGCAGAGAGTCTGCCTGTGCTGAGAGAATCTGGTCACATTAACAGAAGTGAGAGTCACAAGTTCAGAGGTAAAGGTGTTGTGAGTGTGTGAGACAAATGGCAGGATGTGACTGTCTTTTTTTTTCCCCTGGCAGGTCGCAAAGCAGGGAAGGGTTTCTACATTTACCAGGAGGGGGTGAAAAACAGGAGCTTGAATTCTGGCATGGATGAGATCTTGGCGCAGTTCAAGTTGCCAGCTAAACCTGAAGTGTAAGTACCTGCAGCACTGAGTGGTGCTGTAGTATGGTTCATGCCCTGCTCAGCTCCTCCTGGCTCTAAGCACAATGTCTGCACCGGGAGCCTTGAAGGATAGCACTGAACACAGGGTCACTCTGGATGCCAGTTGGCTGTTACCAGCTACCATGTAGGGGAGCAGGCTGTTGGCTCAGGAGAGCCCGTGCTTGTCGTAGAGCATCCTTGAATTCATCAGCCCTTGCTTGAGTGCCTTTACAGAAAGGTTTCCTGTGGTGGCTGGGTTTATCAGAGCAGGTGGGTTACCATGGCCTTCATGTGTCAGACCTGTTGCACAGCCTGACGCTGAAATGTCTCTTAGAGCAGCTCCCATCTGGGAGCTCAACTCCTTGCATTCTTACGTGCCTGCTTTGAGTCACAGCACAGAACTTGGCAGTCCTTAAGCTCACATGGCTGGGGATGACTCCAATGAGAAAAGATTCCTCCCCAGTCCTTTCCCTGTCCCTTCTCTTCTTTCTTCACATACTCTTCTGTTAAACTACTGTCTTAAGCTGCGCAGCCCTGAAAGATTTGTTTCCTTGCAGCTGTACTGATGAGGACATCCAGATGCGCTTGGTAACGAGGTTTGTGAATGAGGCAGCCATGTGCCTGCAGGAGGGGATCCTCAGCAACCCTGTGGAGGGAGACATTGGTGCTGTGTTTGGTTTGGGCTTCCCACCTTGCTTGGGAGGTAAGTGTCAGCTAACTGGTACATCCCTCCTTGCAAGTTCAGACTAGGAGTGGAATCGAAATAATTTGCCCCAGCTTGTCCTCTTCCTTGCAGGCAGCCTGGTACCCCCAGGGTGTTCTGTAGCATGCAGGGGCACTCAAAGCTTTGCTACCAATCTTAGGGTGCACATTTCAGACCAAGCAAAAGCAACAGTTGGGGCTGACACAGAGGGCTGCACAAAGATGGCAGCATGCTTCTGATCCCCTCTGGGCTGGATTCATACATAGGATGAGGTACTGGCTTCCTGTGTCGGCAGCTGGGCTTCTTCTCTGGAGAATGTCCTATCTGGGACCGATTCACTTTAGTATCTTCCTCAGACATTGGCAGTGGGGTTAAGTGCACCTTCAGCAAATTTGCTGATGACACTAAGCGTGGGGTGCAGTCAACACACCGGAGAGACAGAATACCATCCAGAGGGATCTAGACAGGCTGAGCAATGGGCCCAGGAGAACTTCGTGAGGTTCAACAAATCCAAATGCAAGGTCTTGCACCTGGGTCAAGGCAATCTCTGTTACCAGTACATGTCGGGGGATGAAAGCTGCTGAAAAAGAACTGGGGATACTGGTAGATGGGAACCTAGACGTGAGCCAGCACTGTGCCCTTGCAGCCACGAAAGCCAACTGTATCCTGGACTGCACCAAAAGAAGTGTGACCAGCAGGATCAGGGAGGTGATCCTGCCCCTCTCCTCTGCACTGTGAGGCCTCACCTGGAGTATTGCATCCAGATGTGGAGTGCTCAGTAGAGGAGAGACATGAAGCTGTGGGAGTGCATCCAGAGGAGGGCCACAAAAATGATCCCAGGGATGGAACAGCTCTCCTACGAGGACAGGCTGAGAGAGCTGGGGCTGCGCAGCCTGGAGAAGAGAAGGCTGTGAGGTGACCTGAGAGTGGCCAGTCAGTAACTAATGGGGAGCTACAGGAAAGAAAGGGACAGACTCTTTAGCAGTCTGTGGTGATAGAACAAGGGGAAATGGTTTCAAGCTTAAAAAGAGTAGATTTAGGTTAGATATAAGGAAAAAGCCTTTTACAGTGAGAGTGGTGAGGCACTGGAACAGGTTGCCCAGAGATGTGGTTGATGCCCCATCCCTGGAGATTTGCAAGGCCACTCTGGATCAGGCCCTGAGCAGCCTGATCTAGTTGTGCTGTCCCCGTTCATTGCAAGGGAGTTGGACTAGACCACCTTCAGAGGTCCCATCCAACTCTAAGGATTCTATGGCATATCAGCCAAATCCAGTGGTGTCACCTTTCCAGAAGCCTTGGTGCTCCTCCCTTCTTCAGCACGTGTCCCCCTGTCCCCACAGGTCCCTTCAGGTATGCGGACTCCTATGGTGCCAAGCAGCTGGTGGACAAGCTGCGGAAGTATGAGGCCGTCTATGGCAGCCAGTTCACACCATGCCAGCTGCTGCTGGACTATGCCAACAGCCCAGGCAAGAAGTTCCACCAGTGAGCGTGGCCCACGATGCCCATCTGTGCTACACCATCAACCTGAGCCCTGGGGCCACTGGCGCTCTACTGACACCAATTCTCTTTAAGGTTAATCTGCAAGGCACCCTAGGGAGGCAGGGAAGGAAGGAGGGTGGTAGCAGTTTGCCTTGTGGCTTGTATTCATTTCAAGTGCCTTATCAGCTACTGTGCTTTGGGCACATCCGTCCTGTGCCGGTGTGAGCCTGGTGGCTGAGAGAGAGAATTCCTTCTGCTTTTACCTCCATGTTGTACCCACCTGTGCTCCTGGGGCCTGGCAGGCACCATCTTCCACATGACTGGCCCTGGGGCCTTGCCTTTCCATGAACCTCCACCAATAAATCTCCATCTCCTGGGTTTGGACTCCATGCCTGCTTCTCATCTGCTCTTGCTGGGGCTCAGCCACTTGGCACTGAGGAACAGAACCACTCTGGGGTGGAAATAAAGCGTTCAGGCAATCCTCAGGGGTCCTCTTGGTATGTCGTGGGCTGCCCATGCTTGCTGGCAGCCTGCTGAGCTGTGAGACCAACCAAGAGGAGGGCAAGGGGGGAGTGGAAAAAGGCCGCCAGTGCAGAACAAAGCCCTGCTCTGTCACCTCTGCCATCCATCAGTGCCTGCGAGGAGCCTCCGGCTCTTTTGTCTGGCCCCAAGCGCTGCTGCCAGTGTTATCTTGGCAGATGGACCCGCCTGTAATTGCAAATCAAGTAGCCAAAGGCCAGAAGGGTCCCCCATGGGGAGAGCTCAATTTAAACTAAAAGGCTTTAAATCTCTGCACCTGTCACTGATTTCAGAGCCCTGCCAGCCTCTACCTCGCTGTGGTGCCAGGTCTGTCTCCCAGCCCCAGCAGAGCCAAGCAGGGTGCTCACTGCTCTTTCCATGCTGGGTTTGTGCTCTGCTCAAAGCCAGCGCTGTAAAGCCTGAGTTGAGACATGACCTCTGCCGTGAGGCCAGGGAGGTGGCAGCCCCTAGGGGAGCTCCCTGCTGTTTCCTCTTGCCCTGAGGACACAGGGACAGCATGGCGTGTGCTATACCACCCTCCCATCCTCTGCACTGAGGGTCCCTGTCCCCCTCCTCCCCAGGCAAGGGGCTCTTCCAGCAGCTTGTTTTCTCCCGTATGTTTTATTACACTAATCCACAAGGATTAAGTTAAACCAGTCAATGCAAACTCCAGTATTTTCCAGCCCTTTCAGGCCAAAATGAACTGTCCAGTGTTACAACAGGAAAGGGAGAGGCTCAGGAAGGAGGAAACCCCACTGCTGAAAGCGGGGAGAGGCACTGCTGGGTTGGGGCACCCGTGGGTACCCCATCATCAGGCTAGATTTTGGGGCGCCAGCCCTTGATGAACTGCATGATTTTCTTCACCTGGAGCTTGGTGAGGCGAAAATCATCAGCCAGGATCTCTTCGCTGAGCTGCACGAAGATGCTGCCATCAATGCGCTCCCGTGCGAAGAAGCTGACGACATCCTCGGAGAGACCAATGAAACGTAGGCACTTGGAGACCTCCTCCACCGACAGGGCCGAGAGGTCGGCAGGGGGCAGCCAGGGTGAACCATCCCCACTGGGTCTTGGGGCAGCCGGCGGGGCCCCTCCTTCACCCCATGTCCCCGGTGGCACCTCGATGACACCCTGTGCCAGGTAGAGGTGGGTGACACCACCCTCAGCACCTCTCAGCATGGCAGGAGAGAGTGGGGCCGTGCCACGGATGACTATGCCATCCCCATCAAAGCCCTTGGGTGGGCGTGGGGGGGCCACTGGCTCTGGCCCCTCGAAGGGCTCTGGTGAAGAGGAGGAGGAGGGTGCAGGAGGGACTGAGGGTGGTTTGGGCCACTCAGGGCTCTCGGGCCACTCGGTTGCACCGGCAAAGGGGTTGAGCGCCCCAAAGGGTGCAAAGCGTTTTTGGGGGTGCGGAGGTTTGAGGCGGGGGCAGCTCCGGAAAGGCTTCAGAGGGGGCTCAGTCGCTGGCAGTGGTGTGGTGCAGCTGCTGTTCCCCCCTGCCCCTGCCTCGGTGTAGGCCCAGGGATCGGACCAGGCGGTGGAGGCTGGCGGGGCAGCGGGGGGCAGCGGGCAGCCGGGGGGATCCCCAGCTTTGCAGTCTCCCCAGGCACAGGGGTAGCAATAGAGGGAGTAAGCATCAGGTGAGGGTGAGCCGCTGCCGCTCCGTGGGGCTGACCTGCAGAAAGAAAGTGAGCGTCACCCCAAAGCCTGCCCCCAAGCCTTGGCCATCCCTTGTCCCCGAGCCACTCACCCATCGTGCAGCCCTGAGGAGTAGTAGGACAGGCTGGGGCTAGGTGAGGGAGCTGGTGCCAGCTTTGGGAAGCGCAGCGGGGCTGGGGGGCTGCGGGGCACCGTGGGGCGGCCTCCCCGGGGTGGCACAGGGGGGGCATTCAGCAGCCGGCACTCCTCCTTCACCTGCAATGGGGTGAGCAATGTCAGGGATCTGCCCAAGGACCCCCTTGAGGTGCTGGGTGCCCCTCTGGTCCTCAATTATCAAGACACAAGGATGCAGTGTTGGGGAGGTGCAGAGTACCCCATGGTGCAGGGGAGCCTGAAAATTCTGGTTACCCAGTGGTGTCCTAAGGACTTAGCAAGCTGCAGGGAGCTCAAAGGGTTTGGTGCAAGGATCCCAAGGCATTTGGGTGTCCTTTGGTGCAGGTCATCCTGCAAGGTTTGGTGTAAGGATCCAAAAGGATTTGGGTACCCACAAGGGACCCTGGGGATTCTGGTACTGATGGTGCAGCCAGTGGGCTTCAGGGCTCTCCTGAGAATGGAGCCATGCATTACAACCGAATGCACAGAGCCATGGACACCTCACTGAGCAAGGAGGGCATGGGCATCCCACTGGACAGACCAATGGCATGGATGTCCCCATGGAGACCAAAGGACATGGGTAAAAGAATGTGAGCACCCCATGGATCGCAGAGGATTTGGGCAACCCAATGGCACCCACCATGGATGTGGAGTGGGCTGATGTGTGCTGCCCCGCAGTCCTCCTTACCGCCTCTGACTTGGGTGGCACTGGGGGTGGTGCGTCCCCCAGTGGCTCATCCCTGGTGCGTCGCGGGGAGCCCAGCGGGGACGTGGCCCCAAAGGCGATGAGGTCCGGCCGCCCTGCAGTGCTCGGCTGTGAGGAAGAGCAGCTCTCCAAGCCCTGGTTGCTCCAGAGCTCTTCGTAGGGGATCTCCAGTGGCTCCTGAGTCCTGAATTCAGGCTCAGCCCAGTCGGGAGTCACATACTCCCTATCAGGCTCGGTAAAATCAGGGGGGTCCTGGCAGCGGGTGGCTGAATCTGGGGGTGCGCGGGGCAGCCCCCCACCATAGAAGCAGAGCGAGAGCCTCTGCAGGGGTTGGCTGAGCTCCTCGCGGCCGCAGCTCGGCAAGCAGAGCCGCAGGCGCCGGGGGCTGGCGCATTCCTCCGAAAAATCCGGCTTGGCCTCCCGCACGGCCCGCGAGTACTCATCGGGGTTGAAGCGCTCGTGGCAATACGCCGCGCTGTCCCGCAGCAGCTTCTCCAACTGCGGGTCCCCGCCGAGCAGCCCCTCGGGCAGCTGGAAGCGCGGCATGTCGGCCAGCAGCAGGAAGTGGAAGGGCACGAGGCGCTCGCGCCGGAGGATGCAGCACAGCACCACCGTCTTGGAGATGATGCCCACCAGCTTGTAGCAGTGTCCCTCGCGGATGGCGTGCAGGTCGTAAGGGTTGCGAGCTGGACGGCTGGGCACGGCCACGTTGACGGGCAGCCGGACCTTCTCGATGATGCTGCGGATGGTGTGCTCGCCTTCCTGCAGGCGCAGCTCCAGCGGGCTGCGGGTGCTGAAGCGGCCCTTGCACTGGAAGGGGAGGCTGAGGCTCTCGTTGGTGCGGTGGTTCATGCAGATCAGGCACGGCATTTTGCCCTTCACCTGCCTGGCTCCTGCCGCAGGCGCTGCCTTGCCCAGCTTCCGCAGGAGGGTGTTGAGGCGCGACTTCTCCTTCACCGTCTTGGCGCACAGGATCTCCGCCTGCCCCATCAGCGTCAGCTCATCCCCAGCATGCAATGTGAAGTTGTACACCTCGCTGTCCTCGCTGAACTCCCCCGACACCACCTGCCCGTCACCATCTCATAACGTCATTCCACCGCCATCTTCTTACGTCCCATCACCATCCCATAGTGTCACTTCACCGACCCTGATGTCCCATCACCTACCCCTTGATGTCCCACTGCCATCGCTTTATGTCCCACCATCATATTTTCATGTCCCACCACCATTCCACATGTCCCACCACCAACCCCGATGTCCAGTCACCTTCTCGTGTCACTCCGCCACCCTCAGATGTTCCACTGCCATTCAATAGCGTCCCACCAACCATGCTGATGTCTCACCACCAGCTCCTTCTGCCTCACCACTGTGCTCTGATGTTCATCTGTTGTCCCATCACTACCCCTTGATGTCCCAATGCCATCATCTGATGTCCCACCACCAACCCTGACTTCTCATCACCACCCCATAATGTCCCATCATCACCTCTTAATGTCCCACTGCCATCTCTTCATGTTGTACCACCATTCCTTGATGTTCATCTGTTGTCCCATCACTGTTCCCTGATGTCCCCTACTGCCCACCTGCCATTCCCTCCTGTCCCACTGATCCCCTGATGCCCACCACCACCCTCTGCTGTCCCCACACCAACCTTCACGCTGAATGTGATGGCCTCCATAACAAAGACACGGTCTGGGAAGATGCTGGCCACCTCCTCCACACTATTGAAATATTGCACAGGCTCACGGATGTCCCGGTCCTGGTCCAGCAGCTTGAACTTCCCTGCAGGACACACCCAACCCCACAGCAGTAAGTGTGGACCCCGTGGACCTCGTAAGCTATTGGCACTACTGGACATTGGGGCAGCTCCCCATCCAATCTGGGGGGACCCCATGGCATGGCTGCCCCTGAGTCCCCATCCAATTCTGGGGACATCCCAAGACTTATCCTCCGAGGACATCTCATGAGGGTCCCTCCAGCATCCCCCATTGCTATAGGGGTGCCCCAAAGTGACCGCAGAAATGCCCCAAGGGTGGAGGAAACGACATCCAGAGGCATCTGCATGAGTGTCCCAGCCCTACAGCCCCCCCAGCCTCACACATGGCTCATGGGGATGCAAGGACTGGGGTGTAAGGGTGGGTGCTGGGGGCTCAGTGCAGCTGCAGCCGGAGGGAGCACTGATGAGCAAAGCTGCCTTCATTAGCACAAGCGTCGCGGGGACGGGACCTGACGGGAATATTAACTCAGTGCTGTGGCACCGGGCTGCACAGAGGGGACATGAAAAGCCAGGGAGGATGGGGATACTGCACTGAGCTGAGGGCAGGGGTGAGAGGCTGCAGGACAAGCTTGAGGTACAGAAGCCCATGTGCACGGATCCAGGGCATGGCTGGGCCCCACCAGCTGGTTAACTCATCCCCCTCCCTGGGGTGGGCGTCCAGCCCCTCCCCCACTGCATTTCCCATTATTTATTTATTAGCAGGACTCATTACCGCCATGGCAAGCACTTAGAGTGGTCATTAAGGCTCCTGCTACAGCGGCCGTGGTGATCTCAGCACCTTCATCTGCTACAGTGGCCCCAGACTTCATCAGCTGCAGCCTGCCCCATGCCTGTTCCTTCCCTGTCCCATCCCTGTTCCATACCCATCCCTATCCCATTCCTGTCCTTCCTGTCCCTGTCCACCTCCCTGTCACCATTCCATCCCCATCCATGTCCCATCTCCATCCCCTCCATATCCCTGTCCCCATCCCCAATTCTCTCCCCATTCCCACCCACATCTCAACTGATCCACATCTCTGTCTCCATCCCCATCCCCTCCCTATCCCATCTCCATTTCCATCTACATTTCTATTCCCACCCCCATTCTTGCTCCATTTCCTTCTCTATCCTTGTCTCCATCTCCATTCTATCCTATTGCATCTTTGTCTCCAACCCCATCCCATTCTTTTCTCCATCCCAATCCCCATCTTCATCTCTGTCCTTGTCCCTTTTCCCATTCTCCACCCATGTCCCATCCTTGTCTTCATTCTCATCCCACCCATTCCTATCCCCATCCTTATTACATTTCTGTCTCTGACCCTATCCCTGTCTCCATCTCCGTTGTATCCTACCCCATCCTGTCTCCATCCCTATTCCATCCCAGTACTTATCCCCATCCCCATCTGTGTCCAGTCTCCATAGCATCCCTATCCCATGCTTGTCTCCATCTCCACCCTCATGCTCATATCTGTCCGCATCCCATCTTTTTCTGCATCCCCATGTCCCTTCCCTGTCCCTCTCCCCATCCTCATCCATATCCCATTCTCCATCTCCATCTCTGCCTCCATCCCCATTCCAACTCATCTCATCCTTGTCCCCATCCCTACCCACATCTCCACCACCATCTCATCCCCGTCCCTATCCTCACGTGTCCCTGTCTCCACCTCCATCCCTGACCCATCCCCACCCCGTTCCCCCACCTGGGTACTGCAGTGGGATGTCGATTTTGGGGCCGATGACGTAGTGGCCCTCCTCCAGGCTGTGAGCCGTCACCGTCGTCCATTGGCGGCACGAATGGATCAGCAGCACATCCTGGGCACTCACTCCCTCCACCGACTCCCCTGCAAGGGGACGGGGATGGGATGGGACCCGTGGGAACATGGCATGGTCACAGCCCACCATCAGGCGTCCACCACATTGGTCCCACTGGTGTCCCTGCCACGCACCCCGAGTGCCACCAGCCCTGGGGACAATGGAGGTGAAGGGACAGGGCGGGTAGGGGGTCAGTGTAGGTATGGGTTCAGTGTGGGTATGGGGACAGTGCGTATATGGGGCACTGAGCCACGGGCTTGGGGACAGCCATGTCAGGAGCTGCCGGGTGCAGGGTGAGCAGGTGCCCGCTGCCAAGAACCTCCAGTTGCCCTGGAAACAATTTCTTTGTCCCTCTTGAAAGGCTGCAGCAGCAGCAGCTGAACAACAAGTTTATTGACACGGGGCGAGGCAGCTCGGGGGGCCCCGGCACCCCAGCACAGCATCTCCAGGGACACACCAAGCTTTGAGGGTGCACCCCAACCCCTCACATCCTCCTCTGTCCCTACACACCTTGCAGCACCTCTGCACCCATGCAAAACCCGTGCACACACACGGTGCACAAACCCATAGCCATGCATACTCCTGCATCCACACAAACACTTTTGCACAAACCCATCACCGTGCACACTTCCATGCACACCCTACACCCATGCCTGGGCAGCAGTGGGGCAGGCAGGGGGTGCAGGCAGTGGACATGGCCGTGCCATGCACTTCCATCCCGGAATCTCAGCAACAGTTACCCGGGCAATGGGCAAAGCCTGCTCTGGCTGTACAATGCTGCACATGCAGCCCCTTTGTGTCCCCAGGCGCCTGTGCCAGGCAAGTGGCATTGATGGGACTTCCCCATGGACACCCCAGAAGGGCCATGAACCTGCAGGCCCCTCCATTGCTCCACTTCTCCAGCTCCATCCTGCTCCTTCATCCCTTCCTTTTTTCAGTCCCTCTCCTTCTCCAGCTCTTCCATCCCCACTGTATCCCCATCTCTGTCCCTGTCCCCACCATCCCTACATTTCACGTCCTTCCTGTCTCCCCATCTCCCTTTTGTCCCATCCTTTTCTTACAGCCTTCCACTGCTCCCCATCCCTCCTGTCCCCATCTCTCCATCCCAGACCCAGCCCCTGTTCCCATCCCTCTTCCTGTCCCTCTGTCCCTCTCCCTGTTCTCTGCACCCCCCCGTGCTCCCCATCTTTCTGTCCCCACATCCATCTCCATGCCCTACATCTCCTCCATTCTCCCCATCACTGTCCACGTCCCTCTGTCCCCATCCCTGCCCCCTGCATCTCCTCCATGTTCCCCATCCCTCTGTCCATGTCCCGCTGTCCTCATCCCCTATCCCCTGCATCCCCCTCAAGTTTCCTATTCCTCTGTCCCCATCCCTCTGTCCCCATCTCTCTACCCTGTCCCCTGCATCCCCCCAATGCTCCCCAGCTGCTGACCCCATTCCTCTGTCCCCATCGCCATCAATCACCTGCACCTCCTCATGCTCTCAATCCCACTGTCTCCATCCTCGCTCCCTGTCTCGTGTCCCATGTCCCCGTCCACACCCCCAGCATCCCCTCACTGCTCCTCATCCCTCTGCCCCCATCCCTGTGCCCTGCACTCCCCTGCTCTCCAACCCCATGTCCTCATCCCTCTATCCCCATCCCTTGCACACTCATGTTCCCCATCCCTCTGCTCCCATCCCCATCTCTCGCACCCCCCGCACGTTCCCCATCCCTCTGTCCCCATCCCTGTCCCCACGCTCCGCACCTCCTCCACACTCTC